TAGGACAGAACTCACCCAGGCAGAAGAAAGAAAAGGCAAAGAAAATATAGGAAAGGAGATGAAGAGATAAAGATCAGGTGAAATCACAAGTGTGCATTTGACAATGTATAGAATGTATCCGCAGAGACAAAGCCAGGACTAAGATTCACATTAAGAAAGTTGTGCATTAGGGATGTTTCAACATGCCTTCACAGAAACCTTCTTGTTGCATCCCTTATACGCAACTTTGTTAAAATGAATCTTAGTCCTGATCTTTATCTCCTCTCCCTGTCTCTTCTCTTTTCCCTTACTTTTCCTTTGTTTTCTACTACCTAGGTACGTTTCGTCCTCTGAGTTTTTATCCCCCTGTGTTTTTGGTGGCACCCTCGTGGACCACTAAGCTCTCCTGTAGTCTTCCTTTTTCTTGTCCTTAAAGACTTCCTCCATTACTACTACTGCCTCGCTACACTCCACTCTCTGACTCCTATGTCACTACTACCAACACTATGTCACTACTACCAACACTATGTCACTACTACCAACACTATGTCACTACTACCAACACTATGTCACTACTACCAACACTATGTCACTACTACCAACACTATGTCACTGCTACCAACACTATGTCACTACTACCAATACTACCTCTACCATTACTTTCACTGCTTCCTTCATTATTTCTTCTTCCCCCTCGTGTGATTGGTTTCTAAACCGTTTATTCATAGACTAGTTAATAGTCCAAGTCGGACCGAAACGTCGTTATAAGTTTCTTTCAATGTGCGGGTTATTTGTTTATTATTTCAGTCACGGTATTGTGCCTTTTTAGCCTACAAAAAAAAACTGAAGCTAAAAACGCGTGCATCCCTCTGAAGGTGGAAGGTCACGTCAACAACCTTCTGTTGTCTTCCATTCTCGTTAAGAAAATATAAATTTCTATGAATTTTTCATCGAGTGTAGACCAGAGCTCCTCCCTCAGTTTGACAGCTGAACCATGTTTGTTACAGCAACGCGTGCATATAAAATAAATTGCTTGGCACAATGCATCTACATAAAAAATGCATGCCTTCGTAAGTGTTGACTGTACCAACGCACATGAATGAAAATTAACTGCATGTCATGTGTATTAAACGATGTATACGTACGAAAACAAATTTCCTGGCATTAAGGGTGTGTACTATATCAACATCATTAAGAAACAATGAGTGACGGGGTGAATGGATAACTTCACCAGAATTGTTGTTCCATCGCCTCTCGTCTGACAGGCTGCTGAACAACACACTGTACTCTTCTCCCTTCAAGATACACAGTTTACCTGGAGTTTTCCTGGAGAGGGTTTCGGGGGTCAACGCCCCCGCGATTCGGTCTGAGATCAGGCCTTGTGGTGGAATCAGGGTGTGATCAACCAGGCTGTTACTGCTGGCCGCACGCAAACTGACGTATGAACCACAGCCCGGCTGGTCAGGTACTGATTTTAGGTGCCTGTCCAGTGCCTTCTTCAAGACAGTCAGGGGTCTATTAGTAATCCCCCTTATGTATGCTGGGAGGCAGTTGAACAGTCTTGGGCCCCGGACACTTACTGTGTTGTCTCTCAGTGTACTCGTTCTCATTGAGGGAATGCAGCATCTCCTGCCGAGTCTTTTGCTTACACTGGGAGTGATTTTCGTGTGAAAGTTTGGTACCAGTCCCTCTAGGATTTTCCAAGAGTATATTATCATGTATCTCTCTCGCCTGCGTTCCAGGGATTACAAATCAAGGGCCTTCAGCCGTTCTCAGTAATTTAGGCGCCTTATCGTATTTATGTGTGCTGTGAAAGTTCTTTGTACACTCCCCAGGTCAGCAATTTCGACTGCCTTGAAGGGGGCCGTTAGTGTACAGCAGTATTCCAGCCTAGACAAAACAAGCGATTTGAAGAGAATCATCATGGGCTTGACGTCCCTAGTTTTGAAGCTTATCATTTTCCATCCTATCGTTTTCCTAGCAGATACGGTAGATACTTTGCTGTTGTTTTTGAAGGTGAGATCCTCTGACATTATCACTCCCAGGTCCTTCACATTACTTTTTCGCTCTATTGTATGCTTAGAATTTGTCGTATTCCCTGAGGCACCATTTTGTTATGTCTTGACGAACTCACTGGCCATTAAGACTTTATTTTGTTGTCTTGAAGAGTATAACACTGGAGAACAAGACATTATCTTTCATCTAATGAACGCATCAGCGTTGACTCTGCTAGCTATATTAAGTATAATCCAGCTTAATATTTCGTTTCTCATCGCTCCTAATTATTATCTCTTGACATACAAGTTTGCTAAGGTCTAGGTAAACAATATCGTAATCTTTACCACTATCTACTGTTCCGAAGATATTTGGAAAGAACTAGAGTATTCATTAGATTCAGTTTATTGTAGACAAATGTAAGATTTTAAGACTGAGAAAAAGAGATTAACAATGCCACATATACAGTGAATAATATAGATCTTAATCACTCAGAATGAGGATAAGATTTCGGAGTTCCGGTTAGCAGTAATCTACAGCCACAATAACAGTGCATAAGTGTTCACGATAAAGGTAATTGAGTTCTTGGCTTCATATCAAGTAGTATAAATATTAGGAGTTCTCAGGTTATACTTAAACTTTATATGTCCATCGGTAAAGCCTCATTTAGATTATGCTGTGTAGGTCTGGTCACCGAATTACAAAATGGACATAAATCCGCTGGAAAACATACAGAGAAGTATGAAAAGTTAATTCCATGTATCAGAAATTTTTCCTACGTGGATGGCCTGAGAACAGTGAATCTGCACTATCTGGAAAGAAGTAGAACTAAGAGGGATATGACTGAGGTGCCTACATAGAAGACAGGAATACATAAAAGAATATAAATAACGCGCTAAAAATCTAACCAAGACAAAGCTCGCAGTAATGAATTCAGGTTAGAAAAAATTGTATTTAGAAAAGATACAGAAATGTAATGGTTGTGGATGAGTGGAACAAACTCCCGAGTTGCGTCATTGAAGCGAAAACCTTGTGTAGTTTTAAAAATAGATTAAACAAGTACATGAGTGGGTGTGAGTTCAACCTCCCTACCATGGGACAGTAGACCTGCTGCAGTACACCTTTCTTGTGTAAGGTAAGACCCCCCACTCCCCTTGCCTCCTTGAGTAAACCATAGTGTGGAGTTAATGTTACATTATTGACTGACAAGATTGTGAAGATTGAATTTATCATTACTTAAAGTAACTTCCCAGCTGTTGAAAGTATAAACAAGCAGGAAGACACGAATGTCACAATGGTATATAGAGCAAGAGTGAAATATAATATTTTAACATATATAATACGTATGTGATGAACATTTGTGGGTTAGAAGAGGAGACATGACAGGGATCAAATTTCCCTCTCGTATGTGAGAAGACATGCAACAGTTACGTATCTTTTTATATCCAAAACTTTTTTGCTTACACAGGAAGGTTCTTTAGTCTAATACAGAAGTAAAAAATATGGAGACATCAGAAGCTGTGATGAATGTTGCACAAGTGTCTCATCATCTTGTCGGCTTTCTAGACTGTTATATATCTGTCAGACACAGCAACATCTTGGGATCTTTATAAAGGGAATTCTTCAACGCTGGTATAACCTACTTCCACTAGTGAATTTTTCTACTGGTGACGCCGCCTCCAACTGCTTCGTCTCACCTTTCTGCAATATATAAGCTACTTTGCGCACATGCTGTACTTTTACGAATATTGATGGACTGTAAACATCAACTCCAGGTTGAGGGACTGATTACCTCAAACTCCCCATCTTCTATTCTTCTCTAGACTAGACCGAGAAAGCCACTGGCTGGCGAAACGTTTCCAAAATAAAGATACCAAAGTGTTGCAATTTGCATTAAGATCTGATCTGTCTATCAGCCTTGAGGAAGTTGCTTTGACGGTGTCAGTTCCTGAGTCTGGAGAAGTGTTTAGCTTCAGTCTCCATATTTAGCCACCTCTGTATTCAACTGTAGGCGAAACGTTTCGAAATAAAGATACCTAACTGTTGCATATGTGTCTTACCTAACACCCTGTCGGTATTTTATACCACTTTAATGTTCAACTGAAGAAGCCTACTGTGTAGGCGAAACGTTTCGATTATAAAATATCTAACTCTTGCATATGTCTTGTTCATCTAATGTCGGAATTGCATTTTATTATTATTATTATTATTATTATTATTATTATTATTATTATTATTATTATTATTATTATTATTATTATTATTATTATTATTATACCGAATGAGCAATGTAATGTTAATAAGAAAGTGGCTGGGTGGTAGTGACAGTGTCTTGTCCGTCGGTAAAACTGTTGACGCTGTTCACTGTCGTGGTGACTCTCGGTGATTAAGCAGCAATCAACATGAATCAGACACATCTGGGTATCATTATTTACAGACATTTCGCAGTACAGTTACTTTATCAATACAAATACAAAGACTTAATGGGAAGACTGTAGAACTATATACAAAAGACGAGGTAATCAGTCCCTCAGCCTTGGAGTTGGTGATGTACTAGTACCGTAGTCTTCAAGACTACTTTACTCATCACAACTACAAGGATGAGGGACTGATTATCTCGTCTTTTGTATATAGTTCTACAGTCTTTCCATCATGGCTTTGTATTTGTACTGATAAAGCCACTGGATGGCGAAACGTCTACAAATAAGAATACCCAGATGTTTCACGCGTCTAATTCTTCATCTTGTCGGTATTGTATACTATTCATGTTAGGTTTTCCTCACTAAACAACCGTTGGTTTAATCTAACTGAGGTACTGGAACTAGGTTTCAGAATTATTAATCTAACAAAGAATAACAGAGCATCCTGTTTTTTAATGCTCATGGGAAGGAGGAGATAAAGAGGTATAGTCAGATATAGCAGCTGGCAAGTTACGTCGCTCGTGGGAAGTTCACACTAGACGAACGCAGTAACACGTGTACTGAATATTTTTAGTTATGTTACTGGAAATCCCTCATCTCTGTCTTGGCTGAGATAAAGGTACAAAGATAGGCAGGACCTCCACTGAAGGTGCACTGTTAGTAAACGCTGCCACAGCGCGAGCACTACTGGTAAGATATTTACTTAACTGCATGTACGTGAGTTTGTAAATGTTGAGCTTCAGCTCTTGATACTGGAGGAGCGCTACAGCAGGCCTACTGGCCAATACAAGGCAAATCCGTCTCAAAACCAACAGTCCCACTCACCCACATTTGCTCTTGAATACATGTATACAGTAGTGTGCATATTAACTGGGACAGTGATGAAATAAGACATTTATTTCGAAAATTAATGTTTATTTGAAAAACACATGGCACTGATATGACAGATAATTTATTTAATAATATGACTAACCTTTTGCTTTTAAAAGCATTGCTACACGCTTTGGCATAGAATCAATCAATGCTGAATACATTTTTGGCAAGTTGTTCGCCGTGGTACCAGGTCCTAATAACAGCCGCAATTAGCTTTTCCACAGTTGAACAGTCCTGTTTCGCGATCCTGCGTTTGATTATTACCCATAGATTCTCAATTGGGTTGAGGTCAAGAGAGTTTCCAGGCCAATTTAGAAAGCTTAGCCCACTCTCTTCGAAGAATGTCAGCAATTTTCTGGAAGTGTGGCATGGAGCAAGATTCAGCTTGAAAATGCCTTCTCCATCAAGAGACTCTTTCCACAATAGGAAACAAATGAGTTGTCAAGACTGCCTTGTATTTGTCAGTGACTTTAGCAGTAAAACCACCCCAAAACATCTTAAGTGGGTGTTTTGGAGCTTGTTGAATGTGTCCATTTCGAAGAGGTTCGCCTTTCCTCCGTCTCACTACCACTAATCTGTACCCATATACTTTAAAATGCGCCACATCAAATCGAATGCCCACCGCAGCCGTTTTTGCTTCATAACAGCAGTCAATAATTGTTTCTTTACAGGCTTTCTGGCATTTCTGCTAATTTCAAGGAGCCTTCGTCGAACAGTTGAAGAATCAACATTTATGTCAGCTGAAGCCAAATCTATCTGTACATCTTTGCTGGTTTTCTTGGGGTCCTTTACACTATTTCTTTTGATAACCTTGTTATCGTGAGGTGTTGTCTTGCGTTTTCTTCCACACCTTCCTCGACCCAGCGCTCCACAGTCACTAGTGTCGTCAGCTCTCTTCAGAATCTGACTAACAGTTAACTTAGCTAGGCTCAAATTTTCGGCGATCTGTCTGACTTAGCTAAGCTCAAATTTTCGGCGATCTGTCTGACACCCAAATCAGCATGTTTTCTAACAGCTACAATACTTGCACACTTCCTAGGTGTAATATCCGTCATGAATTTCAGCAGTAATCATGAAATGAGGGGAAAAATTTAGAAAAACCACATTCACTCACGGAGCACGCTTGCTGGAATAGCCCTACAGAACAACAGCTGTTGTACCACTGACGAAAGTTGCACGGTAATACCACAGTTGGATGGTTGCCAGGAGTGGGAAGCAAACTCTTTTGAAAAGAAAAGAACCCAAACTACATTAAGCCTGAGACTACGACATATTATTAGATAATCACAAAACTTATTCCTGTCCCAGTTAATTTGAACACTACTGTAGATACAGTTTTTATTGTGTGTTGAAGACTGTTTTTCTCGGACCATGAATGCGACCCCACAGCTGTGAATCTACCGGTAGGTACCTATTTATTGCTAAATTAACAGGGGTCAGAATAGCAGGTCTAAGAATCTCACAGCTTGAGTGGTCAGACCCTGATCCACCACGAGGCCTGGTCTCAGACCAAGCTACGGGGGCGTTGACCCCCGAAACCCTCTCCAGGTATAATCCAGGAGTCTCGCCTTCCATTAAGTAGTGTACACCAGCTTTGAATGTCTGAAGCCTATCAGAAGAGGTATTCTCTAGTTATTACACACAGAGACCATTATCCCCCAAATACACAAGCATTTTAAGTCTGTAGCCTTCAGAAGTTGCAATTTCAAACCATACCACGGGTGTGGTTTGAACCCCCCCCCCCCCGGTCAGTCTCAAAACTTGTATGGTTTGTTTGCAATCGTGTCATTACGATTTCGTGAGTCATGTTGCACTTTCAAGTTATCGGCGTTAAAGGTTTGAAACCGATCCAATGAAGCATTGATAAATTGTACGAAAACTAGTATTTTAGTTTTCCGCAATTTCTTCAATAATATTGGCAAACTGGCGCCTACACAGCCTAAAATCAATCCCAACCTTTCTAGCGTACACCAGGGTTAAGCTTTGAAACTGATGAGGAGAAAAAGCCTTCTCCAGTTGTTGCATGTTGCATATTATTTGTTAAATAAAGTTGGAAAATTATAACTTGCACAACCTAAGCTGAATACACAGTTTTCTTTAAGAAAAACACACCTATTGCAAGTTTATCAAATATACTCATAAAAAAAATGACAATTTCTCACCAATACAGCTTAATTAAAGCCAGAAGTTGTCATCCATGAGAAAGTGCATCAGCTATAAGAGAGTGAAGACGTTCAAAAGATGCTATACTTAGTTGATTTCATAGAAAAGACTACTATACCATTTTAAAAATAAAATTAGCAATTGAGATTCACACACACACATAGGATAGGGAGGAGAATTGGATCGGACGATAATCAGGCAGGACTAACAAAGAGACCTGGACAGGATGCAAGCCTGGTCCAACAACTGGCTCCTCGAATTTAACCCCGCCAAATGTAAAGTCACGAAGATCGGGGAAGGGAAAAAAGACCGCAGACTAGGCTAGGTGACCAGAGACTGCAAACCTCACTTAAGAAAAAAGGATCTCCTGAGGCGCACATCAACAGATAACTGCTGCAGCATATGGGCGCCTGGCAAACCTGAGAATAGCGTTCTGATAGATCAGTAAGGTATCATTCAAGACTCTGTACAACGTGTACGTCAGGCCCATAATTGAGTACGCAGCACCATTTTGGAATCCACACCTGGTCAAGCATGTCAAGAAATTAGAAAAAGTGCAAAGGCTTGCAACAAGGCTGGTTCCAGAGCTAAGGGAAATGTCCTACGATAAAAGGTTAAGGGAAATCGGCCTGACGACACTGGAGGACAGGAGCGTCAGGGGAGACATGATAACAACATACAAAATACTGCGAGGAATTAACAAGGTGGACAGAGACAGGATGTTCCAGAGATGGGACACAGCAACAAGAGGTCACAATTGAAAATTGAAGACTCAGATGAGTCAAAGGAATGTTAGGAAGTATTTCTATAGTCATAGAGTTGTCAGGAAGTGGAATAGTCTGGCAAGCGACGTAGTGGAGGCAGGAACCATACATAGTTTTAAGACGAGGTATGATAAAGCTCATGGAGCAGGGAGAGTGAGGACCTAGTATCGACCAGCGAAGAGACAGGGCCAGGATCTATGACTCGATCCCTGCAACCACAAATAGGTGAGTACACACACACTCCAGTAACAATCACAACCCTTTCAAACTTCAATAACGGTGGGATACACCAGTGCTGCAAGTTGGAAGCTGAGCAGCAGAGAATTCATCAAGTTATCTCCCAGAAACCAATGGCTTTATAACACTGAAAAAGGCCACTTGCCAATCTCAATAGTTGCATGACCATTTCCCGAATTATATAGCAGTTCACCAGCCTGGGAAATTTGATGGAGGAAGGCGTGGGAAAGGCGGGTCTTTTGTGTTAAGTAAAGTGTGTAGCACATGTGGTGGGTTATGGTGTATAGGGAGGGTAGGGAGGAGTGTCACTTTGAATTAATGAGAGGGCGTGGCACAGATAGTGGGGTGGGTAAGGGGATGGGGTAGGCATGGGTTTAGGTGTATGTGCGTGGCATTAGTAATTATGTTTATGTGCTAATTCATATTATAAGTCTTCCATTTTCATTTCCTCTATTATTTTCTTGTATCAAGGAAACGTCGTAAAATTTCAAGAACTTTGTAAGGCAGGATTTTTTTTCATCAAATATTTCAGTTCTGACTTATTTGTTTAAATCTACTTTGGTTGTTATTTTTGTTTCTCTGATGCACGAAGTGATCCGGAGAATAATCTTAGCGAGCCAGGATGTGACCTTTATCATTTCTACACTTCGTAGTTTGCTGAAGAATGTCTTGTTGTCACATGGCACTTTATGCTTTTTTTCCTCCATTTATGTCATATACTCACTCTTACAATATAGTTTCGACCGATAAGCCAGCGATCGTTCAGCTCTGGTCTGCTGTAAGGCTATACCTACCATATTCCCATCTATTACTAGACACCACCGTCCATATGTATATCTATGCACGCCAGCAGTGCTTCTTGCCCCGCACCTGCCATCGAGTCCAAGGTAACAATGAACAGTTAGTCTTATGATGAAATTGTGTATCGTGTAATTTGCCCTGTCAAAAAAAAAAAAAAACGGCATTACCTTTGTTACTTCTGGAAAATCTCCCCTGGAGTTAAAAGAAAAAAAAATAAAGGCTTCATTCATTGCATTTCCTTAATTTTTTTTTTAATCTCGACATCTGTTCTGTTGTAATGATGTTCGTTCCCATATTTCTATTTGTATAATAAACCTTAAGGGAGCTAGTCACTCGTTGCCCTTTACTATCTCTCTTTGTTTGTTGATCAATTGATTTGCCATTACTTGCAACTTTATTTTGAATATTGCCTTTTAAACATATACCTGAGGTATCCCGGTAATAACTGCTGTTTTTAACCCTAATGCTGCAGCCTGATTGTTTCCCACAAAAACCCATACCTCTATAATCTATCAGTTTAAATTTCTAGACAAGTCATCAATTACCCTCTCAATCGAATTGGCTAATGCAACCGCTCCATCCCCAGAGAAATGAACCCCATCCCTTGTATGCATATCATGTTTGCCAAAGAATAGGTCCCAGTTATCAATGAATGGGATTGCAAGTTCCTTGCAGTACCTGTCTAGCCAGCAATTTATACCAATTGCCCTAGACATCCATTCATTGCCCACTCCCTTTCTAGGCAAGATGCTACATATGACTGGGATCCCTCCCTTAGACCTAACTACTTCTATGGTTGACCTGTACTTATCCAGCAGCTCCTCTCTCCTGCCCTTCCCAATGTTATTACCC